AAAGTGATGAATCTCTTCCAGGGCTGCTCAGTGTGGTGGAGCTGGGCGCGCAGTCTGTCATCTACGAGCTCTCCTCTGCGGCATACATGGTAAGGGCTGAGTGTATTAAACCAAGATCAGCCTGGGAAGAGCCCCCAAACAATGGTCCTGCAGATCAAGGCTGGGGAGGGAAGCAGGAGTCGGTACCAAGCAGGTGATGACTCTCCGGCCTGCTGTGCGGCTGCACATCCAGGGGTGGGCTGCAGATGGAAAATCCCTTTACTGCAGCAATGCCAATTTGCTCCAAATTCCCTGTTGGGGAAGAAAACTGCTGCAGGCTCTATTGCCACTCACCACCTCCTTGTCTCCTGCTACTCAGGTGCCTCTGGGCTTCAGCGTGGCTGCGAGTGTCAGAGTGGGCAATGCCTTGGGATCGGGGGATGCGGTGCAAGCCAAGACCTCCTGCATTACTGCCCTGCTGTGCACAGGTCAGCCCAGGTCCTGCAGAGAGGAATAAAGGGGCAGGACATGCTGCCCTTGTGGCAAGCAATTTGATTATTTCTTTTTCTTTCAGAAGTTTTTGCTGTCGTGGTTGCAACATTACTGGGAACCCTAAAGGATGTGGTGGGATACATCTTCACCAATGACAAGTGGGTCAACGGCTTTCTTTTGAGTATTATTACCTTCTTGGAGGGTGTGATTTATATCCCAGGAGCTGCTCAGAAGCTGCTGACAGAGTTCATAAACCTCCATGTGGCAAACATGTTCCCCAAAGGTTCCTCCCCACTGCCCAGTTTCACTGGGCAGCACGGATGCTGCTGACACTGGGACACTACCATGGTGGTACCTAAGCTGCATGCATCCCCTCAAGTCTCATGGGCTGGGATCAAGATTTGTAGCTGGCCAAGGGAGATATGTCAGAACAGAGTCCCTTGGGACCAGGCCATGCTGCTTTCCCTGACCAGTACGTACATCTTCCCAACAGGGAGATCGTTATCTTGGTGTCCAAAGTGATGATCATCTTTGCTCCATTCCACTTGTTTGATGCAGCAGCAGTGAGTATTCCAGTATGTGGAGTGATTCCTCTCTGCAGGTTGGGGTGCAATGGAGAGTGCAAAGCTGCCTCTAGCTCTTTTTTGATCTGTTAAAACGATACAGAGAAGCAAACTGATAAACTGTCAAAGCAGCTGCTTGCATTACCTATAGCACCTCAGTGTCCCTTGTGCTTGTCGTTGCCCATTGGCGTTGCTGCAGAACCACCCAGTTCTTTCTCCCTCTTTTCCCCTGGCAAGGCTTCAGCTTTTTACTAGCTTGTCAGAGCAGGACAAGTGAGCAGCTGGATGTTCAGAGATATCAGGTACTTGCAGCATAGCAGCAGTGCTTATACAACTTGTTAGATAGTAATTTCAGCCTGTTTCCTCCTGTCATGTCCCTGGGAGAGGGTCCCAGGCAGTGTGGAAAGCGCTATGGGGTCTGCTGGCACACCTCTCAGCGTCCGCAGACAGCTCCATATTCTGCATCTGGGTCGGCAGCTGGAACGAGAGGAGCCCTGCACCGTGTGCTCTGCGATGTGGCTTTGGTCCCTCCTGGCTCTGCGGGACAGTGCTGTGGGTTCCCCTATTCACGGGGCTGTGCCATACCTCAGAGCTGTGGTGGTACCTTCCATAGCACGCGCTGTCCCATGCATTGATTCCCTCTGCCTGCTTTCCTTAGGCGACCTGCGGCGGCGTGCTGCGGGGCACAGGGAAGCAGAAGATGGGTGCTATCGCCAACGCCATCGGTTATTATGCCATCGGCCTGCCCATCGGCATCTCACTGATGTTTGCGGCTAAGATGGGGGTGTTAGGTACGTGTGTCCTCCATTTGGCATCGGGAGTCTGGCTTTGTACGAGCTGCCAGCACTGCTTCTGCTGGGCCAAACCCTGTGCCTTGAGCAAAGGCTCAGCCCTGGAACTTGTGCTCAGATCCTCCTTCGGCTTGGTGGGGCTGGATTGCACACGGAAGTGTTTATCTGAGGCAGGTTCTGAGTAGCCTCCATCAAATGGGGGCTGAGATGTCCCAATAAATCCAGGCTTGCTCCCAGCATAGCACCCCCCCAGGAGCTGTTTCCTCTCGCAGCCCCTCAGGGCAGCTCTCCCATCGAGACTGGGTTAGACATGGGGCAATAATCTGTCCCCACCGAAGTCCTTGGGCATCGTGGCAGTGGCTGGCAAAAGCAGGCTTTCCTCAAGCCGTCCCTGAAGTAACTTTCCATTGCTGCAGGTCTGTGGGTGGGGATGATCATTTGCATCTCTCTGCAAGCCGTTTCCTTCTCCACTTTTGTCATGCGCATGGATTGGAAGAAAGCTGCAGAAGAGGTGAGACTTGTGCTTCTCCCTAGTAACTCTTAAAAGGTGTTAGGTGAGTTCCTGTCCCAGTACAATGCCACAGCCCTCTGTGAGGAGGCAAAAGTGAAATGGGATCTGTCCCTCTCCTGTAGCAGAGGAGCAATTTGGTGCTGAGCATGCTTGCTTTGGGAGAGTGGAGGGAAGAGGCTCAGCTTTGCTTGGCTGGGCAGGACATCCTTGCTCGGAGAAGAGCAACTCTTCCGTGTGTTTCTAGGCTCAAGTCCGAGCTGGACTGAAAAAACAACTGGAAGATGTGAACTCCAATGGCACAGCTGCTAACAAAGCATCAGCTGTGGGTATGTAATCGGGCCTGACAACAGGGAGGGAGCCCAAATTCTCCACCCAACCCTTCCTTCACAGTCACAGCAGCCGTGTCTGTCCTGCAGGCCCAGATGGCTGGAAAGAGCACAATGTCTGGTGCTGGTCCCAGGCCAGTGGCACTTCTCCTGTACTTAGTAATGGGGTACAAGATACCCTGTTACCCCTGTCACCACCCTGGCTGCTCCAGGGAAGAGCCTGGACTGCCAGCCAGTGTCTGCCTTACCTGGGAACATCTGCCACTTTGCTGCGGCATGTCCCAGTGTCCCTGAGCCTTGGGAAAGGACCCTCAGGACTGTCACTAGTGCTTGTGCAGCATCAGACTGGGATCCCCTGACTTTGCAGCTCAGCTTCCCTGCAGCACTCACCTTTCTGTTACACAGATTACATCTCCCTTGACACGGACACTGTGGTCCTGCCCGACAGCGTCGTGGAAGGTGAGAGGCAACCTGACCACCAGCTCATCACACAGGAGGTGCCTGCTGTTGTCCCTGCTCCTCCCGCTGTGGTATGGAGGGCCCTGATCATCCGCCGCGTGCTGGCTGCTGCCGCTGCCATCGCTGTCCTGCTGGTGGGCATACTGGTCCGGCTCCTGACTGGCAATAGCTAGAACCAGTGACACGGGGGAGCTGTGCGTAGAGCGGGAGGGCAGGTGATAATGTCCCAGGAGGATGGTGCAGGGGAAGGAATTCCCCCTCGGTTCCTTGTAAAGAGTCACTTGACTCAGTTTCTGGTTAACTCACAATGTTTTATCCCACATGCAGAGTTCTTAAAGGGGGTGAGGATGTGGCATCTGGGAAGAAAGTGCTTGAGAGCTGGCCCCTCTCCTGCACTGCACCAGGATGTCACTTGTGGTAGGCGGGGATGTATCCTGGAGCTGGTCTGAGAAGGAGACAGGGACCTTGTGCTGCTGCCCTGCTTCCTACTCCCTGGGGCCATTTGTCCATGTCATTTGCTAATGGCAGAGGCTCGTGCTGCCCACAGCATGTTTTCTCATGCACCAGTCTGTGCCAGCATCTTGGCGTGGCAGAGCCCACTCGCTACCGCTGTGGCAGCACAGAGCAAGGCTGATTTTGTTGGAAGATGGCTGACCCCTCTGACTGCTGCTGGGGCGTTGGGCGCTGGCTGCTGGCCCTGCTCTCCCTGCTGCATGGCAGGCACAGGGCCTAAAGCAACTCTTCTTTGCACTTTTGTAAGGTGGGATTTTGATACAATAAAGTTTTCTGAGTAAACGTTGGGCTTCTAATGTGGTGTGACCATGACCCTGGTCATTGGCATGACTAACTGTTAGAGAGGAGACGTGTGCCTGGTTTGTGCAGCACGGCAGGCTTCTACAGGGCATAGCCTCAGCCTCCTGGCCCTGCAGTTTGGGGCTGGCTCTGGGTGCAGCGGTAGCCAGGGTCTTGTTTCAGCAGGGCTCACAGAGCACGCTGTGCCCCTCAGGTACCAGCAGGGTTTGTGCGCCTCGATTGCTCTCACACTGTTGCTGAGCTGCACGGGAGAGGGTGGTGTGGTGCACAACCCTCCAGAGCCGTCAAGGAACCGCCGTATGTCTTAATGCAAATGCACCAGCACTGCCTGCCCACCCCTGCCCTCAGCACCGAGCCCCTCAGGACCTGTCCCATGCTCTTACCTGCAGCTGTATGACAGCAGCGAGGCCACTGCCTCTGCCGTGTGGCGCGTGCACAGCTGTTGGAGGTGAATAACAGCCAGCCAGTGCATGGCACCTCCCTGCCACCCTGCAACTCTCCTGGCACTTGCGCTGGTTGCCTGTGGCTGGGAATGAAAAGACATGACATAAAGGAGCTTGAAACAGCCATCAACCCCTGCCCAGATGTGGGGAGGATGTGGAAGACTGTGCCCTGCTCAGAATCCAGCTAGTTTTGGGATGGGAGCCTGGGGAGATGAGGAAGCCTGCCTTGCTCTGCCCTGGGGGCTATGGGAGCCCACCTCCTGCTCTGTGCAGGAGAGGGTCTGCACCACGGCAGCAGCTCCCCTCCGCCTCCCCTGCCCTGTGGTGGGCCAAGGCAGGACGCTATATTTGGCCTGGCGGAGCGGTGCCGGTGAAACCCGACGCTGCCGTCCTGTGCGAGGCCGACAGCTGGAGCCAATGGGGCCGGCTTGTCTTGGCTG